CCAACTTAGAAACAAAAGCAATGATCACACACTCCCTAGAGTAGTCCAATCTAGAAGACTAGGATGGTTTACTAGGTAATCATAGCTAGTACTATGAACTAAGACCTATAAAATAAACAACCTTACCCCCTTTGACTATGTAGGTGCCCTAGTATGAAGTAATTCATGATTACTGACAAAGGCACCTCAAACTACTTAATAGAAAGAAGTTCTACATGCATCATCACCATGATAACAATGGGGACCTCTAACTTTCTGGTTGTTTAATAGTCCATGGATCCTAATGCACCCAAAATGATGGAAAGCCACAGGAATCTTATCAAGGGCGTTATTCCCAAAATTTAGGTCATTCTACCAATTTATCCTCTTTGATAGTTTAGGTTTATTTAAGGTTAGGGTATTACCTCCATTTAGAAATCCATCTAGCCTATCCTTCCTCTAGTCTAGGGTCAAATCCAAATATCAAAACCAAAATTTCAATTCAAACCTCAATCCACACCTTCAATTTCAAAACTCAAAATCTGAGCCTTCAATTTTAAAACTCAAATTCAATCCTTAAAATTAAAACTTCAGGTCCAAATCTTTTAAAAACCTTATGCTCTTCAAAGCCATCTTCAAAACTACAAAACTTCAAAACTTTCAAAATAATTAGGAGAGACATGTCAAATGGAGAACAGTTGGATATAAAATCAAAAATAAACTTGAAAGTTAGAAGAACCACGATTATCATACCAATTGACAAACTAGGAAAAAACCAACAAACTTAGAAGAACCCTACTTTTTCTCTATGACTAACAAACACGAAACCAAAATAAAGCATAAATTAAAAATTAAACCCCAAAATATACTTTCAATTCTACTAATTTAAATCATGTAAATCAAATCTTGGTAGATAAACTTTGAATCTCTATGCTAGCCAACTTAGAAACAAAAGCAATGATCACACACTCCCTAGAGTAGTCCAATCTAGAAGACTAGGATGGTTTACTAGGTAATCATAGCTAGTACTATGAACTAAGACCTATAAAATAAACAACCTTACCCCCTTTGACTATGTAGGTGCCCTAGTATGAAGTAATTCATGATTACTGACAAAGGCACCTCAAACTACTTAATAGAAAGAAGTTCTACATGCATCATCACCATGATAACAATGGGGACCTCTAACTTTCTGGTTGTTTAATAGTCCATGGATCCTAATGCACCCAAAATGATGGAAAGCCACAGGAATCTTATCAAGGGCGTTATTCCCAAAATTTAGGTCATTCTACCAATTTATCCTCTTTGATAGTTTAGGTTTATTTTAAGGTTAGGGTATTACCTCCATTTAGAAATCCATCTAGCCTATCCTTCCTCTAGTCTAGGGTCAAATCCAAATATCAAAACCAAATTTTCAATTCAAACCTCAATCCACACCTTCAATTTCAAAACTCAAAATCTGAGCCTTCAATTTTAAAACTCAAATTCAATCCTTAAAATTAAAACTTCAGGTCCAAATCTTTTAAAAACCTTATGCTCTTCAAAGCCATCTTCAAAACTACAAAACTTCAAAACTTTCAAAATAATCAAACATATTTCAAGAGATAATGATGGTTTCGATTCTTTCTGAAGATCCCTAGTAATGTTATATAGGCCTTTGGTTGAGTTTAATTTGACAGGGGTTAAAGGATTAAGGCAACAAAATAGCTAGCTTAGATAAAAAACTAGTTCAACCTGAAGTAGTAAATTTTGCATCAAAATTTGATTGAGGAAAAATGGGAGGTTCCTAAGCCTTAAAAATTCTTGGAGATATTAAAGTGATGAGTCTAGACATGTTCAAAAATTTTTAGTTGTTAATCATTTTGAATATTTTTTATGGATTTTTTAAAAGACTAGTTATAGTGAAATTCTAGCCTTATTGAAAGAGTAGTTCTTACGTTTTGGGCTATAAAAAGTTAATTTAGGTGAAAATAAATAGATAAAAAAAATTCATATTGCAGAGAAAAAATTAAATTTATCTAGATTTTTTCCTTAGTTTTTAAATTGTTAGAGGAACCCATTAGTCTCAAGAATAATTTTAAGTCTTATCAAAGATCAATAGCTCTAAGTTGTTTAGGGCTGGGATTTGTTTCGTTGACATTAATAAAAGACATACAATAATAACTAAAGAATAGAATATGCAAATAAGAACAAAAAACATGATAGTTTTATATGATATAAGATCTAATCACTGACTTAAGTGATTAGTAGAAGGGAACACCAAATCTCTTTCATGGTGTGAGGCTCACAACCTGGCCTATTCTTGCTCAAGATCTAATCAGGATACAATTCATTCTAGAAAAAAAACACATACATAAGTTTTTAGATTGAATTTAATTAAAATAAAGAAGGTTAGAAATGGGAGAGAAGGGGTGCGGGCCCACATATTTAGATGAGGACCTTTGATTATTCATATATAACCACCCAATACTACAACTCCAATCAATAGAATTTCGCCACTGCATGTAAAAATAATCTATTTAAAAAAATTTTATATAAATATTTAATTTTTTTTTAACTTTAAATCATTCATCTATGATAATTAAATATCCAATATCCAAAACTCCAAGGTTTTAAAATTCAAAATTTCAAAAAAATGCAATAAATACATAAGTTTTAAAATAACATTCATACCCTATAAAATAAAATTAATTTTTAAGTAAGGATTTTCCTTATACTCATGGTTATTGGATTTTTCTAATCAACCGCACTTTCCTTAGATTGTGTGCTTTTCATTGATCATTTCCTCATAAAATTGGCATCTTGTGAAATCAATTTCATAAATACTTGGCATCATAGTTCTTAAGCAACTAAGTGGATTTGGTTGGAAGTTTTTTTTTTTTTTGGAATGTTTGTAAATCCAATAAATTCAAGAATATTTCAAATCTTAATATGGTTAAAAGCTATGAATACTAAGCATTTTATTAGATTTAGGTTCAAGTTTTCATAAGAAGAGTAGTCCTCATCTTTGCTTTGAGGTTGGAGACTAATAGTTTCACAAGCATTGCTTCATTATTTTGTTACTTTCTTAGCCTTTTCAAAATCTTGTGCAACTAAAATGTAACCCTAAAATTTCTAAAAAAAACGTCAACTCAATAATTAAATCCTAAATTTCAAAATACTAAATCCTAATATACGATTGTTAGGAGTACTTATGCAATTCATAGTATTATGTTCTTCCTATTTATTTTATTTGGCAATTAAACAAAAGCTATTCTAAAATTTCAACCAGTCCCTTTTGAAGTCCTGAAAGAATATCCTTGTATTGAAACTTTGAAATACTAGAAATATTTATTACTTTTTCAATCAAGTGTTTTCTCAAGAAATGACTTTTTTTGGATATATATAACTATAAAAGCTTATATTTATAGGAAACTTATACCCTTTCCTGATCAAATTAAGTAGCAGACAAATCTTTTAAAATATTGGAACAACTTCCAAAATTTTATTCCTGTCACTATATCAGTTATAAAATAATATGTGTCCTTTTAGGTAAGATATTATTACATCTGATGCATTTGATTGCAAAATAAATTTTAACTAAATTATTTAATTTTTCTATAGTCAATATTCTTATAACATTAGCTAGCTAAATTTCTTGCTAACCATTACTACAACCTGCTTTATCACAACTTCTATCCAAGTTGGTCATCCAGGGTATCCATAAGCCAACTTGATGGGGTGTTTTGCAGTTTGTTCATTGTACATTAAACTTATGTGCTTGTTAGTTAATTTAGTTAACTGACCTTTAACTTAGAGGACATTGTACTGCAAGTAGTCACTACATTTATTTTATGTAAATATTTCTTGTATATCAATTTGTAGATAGAATTCCTAAGAAATAAAATAGAAAGCTTGTTTATCCCATTCCCTTTCTTCACCCTCATAGGGTCCTTCTTGTTTTTCTTTATACTACTGAGATATGATATATATAGGCTATTTCTTAGCTCGTGCTATTTTGTTGTATGATTGACTAGTGGCTTTAACAAGCATTTAATTAGTAGAAGTAATTTTAATGATTAACTTTGAGGAGCAATATTTTTTACTCTTTTTTTTTCTTGTACAACAAAACCTTATTAGAGCTTTTAGTTATATATATATATTTGATAGGCATTATTTTGTTGCCTCTTAAAAACTAATGTGCAGTATGTAAAATTTTATTAATGTAATGGAATGGATATATGTTATAGTTTATGAAGCTTGTGTTGTTAGTAGTTGATTTATGAATTATAGGACTTTAAATAGCATTATCCTTTTAATGGAAATGAGATCAAAGATATAACATCTTGAAGACAGAAAGATAAATTTCACATATTTTTAGTGACGATCTGTTGAAGTTTTGTTCTCTTATCATGTAAAATAAAACCTTAAGGCATTAGAAAACATCATTTTCTTTAAAACTTATTTTTTTTTGGCATTTATTCCTTTTTAGTACACTTGCATTTACAAATATCTTTCAAATTATTTTAAATATCATAGAGACTGTCTTAATATCTTAGGTCTTTTGACACACTTTTTTGTTGTTAGATATATTAGCAACAATGTTTTAAACTTGTCAAGGACAGTCTTTTATTTGCATTTTTATCATAAGATGTAAACAAAATTGCAATAAATCAATTTTATCTATGATGCATCCCAATATTTATGTGGATGCTATAAATAGGCGATTTAATCAAGTCTTTTTTTCATATTAGAGACCGTCAATCTATTAAAAAAAGCTCAACTACCAAAACAGTTCCAAATTGCCAAACGTGTAGACTTGAAATCCATGGCTAGTCCGACAGCAGTAAAGATTATCTAATAAAAGATCCTACTAAATGGGTTCATGCTTACACCAAACTTGATATGATTTACAGCCATCTTTAACAATCCTGATTCTTCTCTGTTCTGCAATTTGGAAAATGATCACAACAAAAAACAATTGAAATACAATAAAATAGTACATAAGACACACTGTATTATTTAGTAATCAGAACGGAAAACAGTATAATTACATCCCAAGAAGAAGAGTTGTCATATTGCAGCAGCCTTTCTTTCTTTATTTTTTCACACATGCAGTGTGAAGTAACAGAAATTCCAACCAAACAAACAAGTTTTTAATCAGTCTGATTGCAAACAGCTAACATATAGCCACACAATTGCCACTCCAAATGAACCAAGACAGAAAATTCAATCCAAGGCCACCACTTCAGTCAACAAACAATAGCAGTTTTATTGATGTCCGTGTTATTTATGTGTAACTCTAGTACATGTATCATAATTTATGCAACAAGACCTGAGTACCATGCTGAGGTTGAAGTGTTAAGACAGTGTATGGAGCATGGATATAGGATGGCGACAACTCAAACCTGAAACGCTGAAGTATCATGCTCAAGCACATCTTGGCTTCAGCCATTGCAAAGTTCTGACCCAGGCACATGCGAGGACCCCAACCAAATGAGAAAAAAGCCATCTGATTATTCTTTGCAGCCTTTGAGATGCCATCTGTAAATCTCTCTGGTTTGAACTCATGAACATCTTCTCCCCAAATGTCAGGATCATGGTGAATGAATATTAGAGGCAAAGAAAGCATCACGCCTTTAGGGTAAGTGATACCTCCGACCTCCATGCTCTTATTCGTCCTTCGGCTCAGAAGAACAACAGGGGGGTATAGTCTTAGAACCTCGTGCAGAATCATGTTCATCTGCACCAGTTAGAATGAAAGCAGAAAAAAAGTTTCAGCATTACATATATTATTATACTGTACTAGAAATGGACAAATGCTTTCATCAAATTTGATGATGTTCTATGATGTTGAGAGGAATATATCTCATTGGCACTTGCGTGTCATGTATTGGTATGAGCTTACTCACTGGAATTGATTTAAAATAAATATAATCAACAGAATTTGTAACCAAGTTCCGATGAATATGGGCATGTCAGTCATTTTGCGGGCTGGCAATTAGAAATAAGTTGTCATAATAAAAAATTTAAGGAATCAAGGAAGGATGTAGGCACAACATTTCTTTTTTGGTTGCAGAGACAATAAGAATGTGTAATTTCCTTCTTCCAAGACCTTAGAAATCTGAAATTGAATCTTTTTAGCTGCATTATATGATTCTTTGATTTTATTTACTTTGAATCGCTGGTGCAAAAAAGGATATAGAAAAATATGTTAAAGTGAGAAAGGGCAATAGCACGATTTAGTTTTCCAATTCCAAATATCTTATGAAAATATGTGAAAGGCAGAAAAGGTGGAAAAATCAATTGGACATTTTAGATTTTCAATTTTACGCATAATAGAAGTTTAATTACTATTTAAGTTAATTAGCCATAATATTCATTGATTATAATTTTTTCGATTGATTATTCAATACATTTGCTGGTAGTATTCCTCTTGATATTAATGAGCAAAATGCTTTATTGAAATAAATGGAGATAATGAGAAAATTGACAAAGAAGAAATGGATGGAGTTAATGAAAGAACAATTAAAAAGAAAAAGATGTTAGCTTCACTAGTATGGGGTCTTTTATCGATAATGCATCTAGGAGATGATGGTAATCACAAGTGTAAGTGAAAGCAATGCGGCTCAACTTATCAACATGATAGCAAATTTGGCACTAAATTTTTGAAACTTCACATACAAAATTATAAGAAAAATGATACTCATGATATTTGTTAACTTGTTCTACAAACTAGCTCCACTTCATCTTTATCTATGTCTGACACCAAATTTGATCAATAAGAATTCTGTGATTTATTTATAGATTATATTGTTATTCATGATTTACATTTCCAATGTATTGAATGTGTTCCTACATCATTATTACTTTATTTTCATAGAGATATACAATTTATCTCAAAAAATATTGCATGACATTACTATAAGATGTACATTAGCGAGAAAGGGCAAATTCAAGTTTGACTTCTGATTTGTGGATTCCAAAATACTGATGGATTTATTTGTCTGACTACACATTTTATTGATAATGCTTGACAACTACAAAAAAAATTATAAAAATTGAATTTATGGCACCACTTCATAATGACCTTACATTATTTGAAGTGTTGGAATCTTTTTTAACTAATTGGAGAACTAAAAGTAAGAATTTCTATATCACTTTAAACAATGCTTCAGCAAATAATGTCTTTGTTGACTTCTTAAGAAATCAATTGAATTTAGGAGGAAGACTGCTATGCAATTGAGAATTCTTCCATATGCAGTGTTGTGCAGATATTATAAACTTAATTCTTCAAGAAGGGATAAAGGAGACGGATGATTTTGTTTCTAATGTGCAAGAAAGAATTAAATAAATTAAAGATTCTCAAGCTAGAAAGAAAAAAAAAATTGATTATGCAGAACAAACTAACTTTGATGATAAAAGAGGACTGAGACAAAACATTCATACTAGATGAAACTCAATTTTGATCATACTTGATAATGCTATATATTATATATGTGAATTTTTGCATTTAGAGTTGAGTGACTTAAATTATAAAATTTGCCAATCAAATAGTTAGTGTGTGAAAATAGTTCATACATGTAATTTTTTTGGCACCTTTTTATGAGATTGCACATGTACTTTGGAATAAACTATGCAATATCAAATCTTTAATTTTCATGTATTTCTAGTACTTACGCCGCATTAAAGCATGAAAGTGTAAGTGATAAAAATTTTATTAGAAACAAGACAAAATTGCTTGTGCAATTTAAAAAATACTTGTTAGAATTTTGTTTCATAATATTGGCAATTGATTTTATTCTTTATCTAGGATATAGTTCAATTTTATTGGATGGTCCTAATATTGGCGTCAATTTTTTATGTAACGTGTGTAGGGTGTCCACATGACTGACTCGAGATGATTCATTGCTCACTCGTAGTATCCTGCAGCTCAAGACACCCTATTATAGGAACAACATGTTTGAGCATCGTGGTGCTCAAATATGTTGTTCCTATAATTGGGGCAGTCTTGAGCTACTCCAAGGGTTATAAAAGTGGTCATTTGGAGATTCCTTTCAATCGTGAGAGCCTTTACTTCCCTTCCCCTTCCGCCTCCGTTTCTTAAGCGTTTAGAGCATGTAAGAGCTTCTCTCCACACTCTTCTTTTTTAGATATCTGTTATTGGAGTGAGAACAATCCTATAGCAGGAGAAGTTAAAGAGGGATCTCTGGAGCACTTGACCCCACAAGGACTACATCAACCTTCGTGCATGTGAGATTCCTCCGAACCCTCTTATAACCCTTAGAATTTTGTTTTAGAGGATTATGACTAAGTTGTTATCAAAGGAAACTTTTAGGTAAGGAGTTCCACCTCTAATTTACTTGTTTCTCTGAGCGAACCAAGTGTGGCCCCTCTGATTTAGCCCTAGCGTTGTAGCGCTATCTTTGGGTGTTATGGATCCATCCCTATTTTCTTGACATGGTGTGAGGCACTACTTTCAAACGCATCGGCGTCATGCTCTTTTTAGGATAGTGTAACGTCATCATCTCTATGATGTTGTGACACTATTCTATCTTAGTTTGGCATATTTCCATGACATTGTTTTCATCACTGCATCATAACCAAAACTTATGCTTGTCCAACCCAGAGCCATGGTGTCATTTCTCGGTGTTAATGCCCTAGATTTGAGCCTTCTAGGCCGAAATTCCACAAGATATTCTTAGCTAATGAGCCCTAAGCCTTGGCCTCTTTGGCTTGGCATTGAGGTGATTTTTTCATAGTTTTGTAATGTTATGCTTGTTGCCTCAAGGTCACAATGTCACTCAAAAGCGCCGCAACATTGAGACTTACCCGAAAACTTCCTTCCTCGCGGACACATAGTATGTGCACCACCTTTGCTGCAGTGCAAGAACCGCTGGTTAACAAACCAATTAGTTGTATTCGACTCAATCAAATATTTATTCACTTCTAAACCATTATTGGTCGAGGTGAGCTTTGGGTCTTTACCCATGGACCGTTCGTACACCCGTTCATATAGGTGGCAACCCTCGTTCTGTCTTTGCGCTGCTAACTGTATTTTGTTATTCTGAACAAACGAGTCTCTAACTTTTATAAGTTGGAGACTTAAGGATTTATATGCTAAATCGTTGGTACACTTTTTCTTATGGGCGGCAGTTCTTATGTCCGACTAATCTACTGGATTTATAACAATCTCATTGTCACCGGATTGATCTTTATAAGTTCGTTTCATGTCTTTTATTTCACGTTTACCTTTTTGGACCACTCGATGAGGCGTGTAGGAAAGTAATAAAGCCCAAACACTGCTTAGGAGTAGGTGTCTATATATAGGATTGTAGAGTATTAACACGGTTCTTACATTGGTTAGAGGATAAAAAGGACTGCCACCTAGGCACCGTATTTTGGCGCTGTGGAGCTAGCCTTTTTGCCTTCGAATTTGAAGGGCTGCGTTGCAGTTGCGTCTTTGTAACATTGTCGTGTATTTATTTGCACTTGAATTTTCATAGACATGCATATTTAGAGTCATTTGATTTGACTTATGCATGTCGTTTCATATATATTGTGTTGTATGCTTGATATGTATTTATTACATGTGCTTTGACACTACCTTAATGGTGTAGGGTGCCAACTCCTGTTCCATTTGAGAATAGACGGTCAGTATGACATAATCATCTATATGACCTCGTGGTGCTACCATTCTGATTCAGGATAATATTTTGTATGCATTGTATGTCCCACTATATGTTTGTATTTGTTGCATTCATAATTTGCATGGTGCATTTATTACATCATGATGCATTGTCAACATCATTTATATTATAACAAAAATTATTGTGTCGTGCCTTTGGAACTTAGTTTCCCATGTACTTGGTTTGCATATTGTGAATTTCTATGCAATAGGTGTTCTTCTTTGTCCAAGAGAAACACCCTTTTTTCATTTATAGGTATAGGTTGCACGAATTACTTAAAGGCTAGGCTTCAGCTACCCATATATTGAACAACAGCTTTAATAGTAAAATGAGTATTACCCGCTAGTTTATCTAGTTAAACAATGTGAATTATCATATTATTATCAAATATTATAGAATCGTTCCAAGCATAGACCTAGGTTAATATTTGTCACTTTTCAGGATGAGTGTTAGCTCATTCAAATGTTCGGGATAGAGCTAGCTTGGTGACCACATCAAGATCCTACAAAAAAGTCCCCAACCTCTGCATCGCACAACCTTCAATTTGATGCATGTATAGGCAATATCATGTAGATGTTTATTTCGAACTAGGGTTAGGTTATAGCTAAGTTTTTTCTTTTATGTGCAGTTATTGTCTGATGTATTTGCTAAAAGTCTCATTTTGCTTGATGAATTGTGTGTTTATTGAGTTTGAGACTAGTGCACAAGCATATTAAGGCGTTCTTCTTATAGGAAGTCAGGTCCCAATAGGATGAGTTGACTAATGATCAAGCTAATGAATTTTTTTTGTAGGTGCTACTAAACTCTTCTCCCGTCGAACTTGCTTCATTTTGCATTGCATGAAATAGCCCGTGCTAACCTCTATTCTGTAGGTCGTGTCTTATTTCAGAATTTTCTTATGTACTTTTATAATCCCTTGGGAGAGTTTTTATTAGAAATAAGGTATAGTATGAGAACGCATTTCTATGATTTTTTACATTCTGAAACATGTAGAGAAAACTAGGAGTTGTAAAGACTTAAGATCAGGCATACATCCAAAGCCTGATCACTATTT